AAGGGCCCCAAAAACCCCTTGGTCCCCAGAGAGTTAATGGCTGAATGGATTCAAAAACGGTAAAACTCAACAGTTTAACTCTGGGGGAGTTGTAAAATGAGCCTATTTCCAAAAAAAGTGGAGTATCCCTTTAAATATGTCTAATGATGCTCAGTTTGTCTAGATCAAATAATTAAGAGTGTGATGTTTTAACGAATAATGAATGTTGAACAACAATAATCTGGGGCCGTCTGTGATCTTTGCCGCGAAAGGGGTTAAATGAGTGTTTTTGGTGATCCAGTTCGGTAGGTGGCACTGTAACAGAAAACTAGGGTCCTGAAACTGCGGTCCTAAAACTGGGGTCCTGAAACTGGGGTCCTGAGACTGGGGTCCTGAAACTGGGGTCCTGAAACTGCGGTCCTAAAACTGGGGTCCTGAAACTGGGGTCCTGAGACTGGGGTCCTGAAACTGGGGTCCTGAAACTGCGGTCCTAAAACTGGGGTCCTGAAACTGGGGTCCTGAAACTGGGGTCCTGAAACTGCGGTCCTAAAACTGGGGTCCTGAAACTGGGGTCCTGAAACTGGGGTCCTGAAACTGGGGTCCTGAAACTGCGGTCCTAAAACTGGGGTCCTGAAACTGGGGTCCTGAGACTGGGGTCCTGAAACTGGGGTCCTGAAACTGGGGTCCTGAAACTGGGGTCCTGAGACTGGGGTCCTGAAACTGGGGTCCTGAAACTGCGGTCCTAAAACTGGGGTCCTGAAACTGGGGTCCTGAAACTGGGGTCCTGAGACTGGGGTCTCAGGACCCCAGTTTCAGGACCCAGGAAACCCAGTTTCAGGAAACTTTTCAGGTCCTGAAACTGCAGTCCTAAAACTGGGGTCCTGAAACTGGGGTCCTGAAACTGGGGTCCTGAGACTGGGGTCCTGAAACTGGGGTCCTGAGACTGGGGTCCTAAAACTGGGGTCCTGAAACTGGGGTCCTGAAACTGGGGTCCTAAAACTGGGGTCCTAAAACTGGGGTCCTAAAACTGGGGTCCTGAAACTGGGGTCCTGAAACTGGGGTCCTGAAACTGCGGTCCTAAAACTGGGGTCCTGAAACTGGGGTCCTGAAACTGGGGTCCTGAGACTGGGGTCCTGAAACTGGGGTCCTGAAACTGGGGTCCTGAAACTGGGGTCCTGAGACTGGGGTCCTGAAACTGGGGTCCTGAAACTGCGGTCCTAAAACTGGGGTCCTGAAACTGGGGTCCTGAAACTGGGGTCCTGAGACTGGGGTCCTGAAACTGGGGTCCTGAAACTGCGGTCCTAAAACTGGGGTCCTGAAACTGGGGTCCTGAGACTGGGGTCCTGAAACTGGGGTCCTGAGACTGGGGTCCTGAAACTGGGGTCCTGAGACTGCAGCCTCCGGTTGTGCAGGAATACCCTTCTCATGAAAACTGCCTAATAATGTTACTGAATGCAATGTCGACCCAGGACGAGCTATAGGACTGTGAAGCTTTGGGGGTGTTGGTGGTCTCGATCTTCTCCATCTGTGTTTTGATCATCGTTCTGAATCCGATCCGGACGTAGGCCTAGTCTTTTACAAAAACACGATTTTCTCGGCTTTTTGCTAAAAATTGTGCTTTAATTTTTTTTTTTTTTTACCCACATTCAAGTGCTATTAAAAAAGAATGCTTTTTTTAAAAAAAAAGAAAAAAGTAGAGGGTCTCATCGTTCTTTTGATATAGCCTAGTATTGCATGTTCAGATATTCATACAACAAAATATTCTGGAGACCATGAAAGTTTTTGTGAAAATGATTGCGGTGGCTGGCAAGTTTTATTTTTTTTATTTTTTTATTAACTCTGGTGGGGAAAGAGTTAAAATATAATCGTTTATTTAACATTTAATATTTTCTGGCATTGATTATGGTATCAGTTTTATATTGCATGCAGCGTGTGCACATAAATGACCTATAGGCAACCTATATTTAAACAGAACTGTCATGTTCGCGTGAAATACATTCCCTTTAAAAATGAATGAATTCTGGAAGAGCTGAATATGTCTCACAAGCTCTTGTTCTGAATTATCTATGGTTACTGATGTGGATGTATCATACTCTCGTCTCATATGTGATGCTTGTATATCGGCTCTCCATACTTCTCTGGACTCACTATAGAAAGTCTGAAATAAAAGCGTTTATATAACCCAGCAGCAATCCACCTACTACTAGATGTCAAAAACCATCAGTAGATCATTTATCTCAATTACTAAGCACTCTCATGTTTAGGCTACTGTACCAAGTCACTGTGAAATCCTTTGGCCTTTCGTCTCTGCAGGATGTGAGCTAATCGGAGCCGTTCAGCGGGAAGGAGTGGGAAATGCCAATGAGACGAGAAAGAAAGATGGAAAGCTGTACTCTTCAGCTTCCCTTTGCGTTTAAAGTTAGTTACCCGCATCACACACACACACACGTGTCTAGCTGGATAAATATGATGCGTCTATCTGTCTTTGTGCTTTCATAAAACCTCCATGAATCATTGAGCAAAGCCCATCTTCCACAGAGACGCTGTCAGACGACACACAGAGAAGAATGGAGCTCACCTTCTCTTCTCTACCCAGGAAGTTTGTACCAAGTTTTATTCAAAATAACTTTGAAGGAATAGTTCACACAAAAGATGGAACAGTTGTCCTTTTTTACTCATCCTCATGTCAGTCTTCACTGTGATGTTTGTCATGCATTTACATGAGCTTTCAGGCTTCAGAAAGGATTTAAAAGTATTGTAAAATTAGTCCACACCAACTCAAATATAGTCATCTGAAGTAATATATCGATACTGTCATTTAGACTTTTTATGTACATCAGATCAAGCGATTCTTTGATTCAAATGGATGTATTGTTCACAGACCAGAAATCGCTCATGAATGTTGCATGGAGATCTAAAGCAGATGTCTTTTTATGAATAAATATTTCATCTATATATCTTGTCTTCCTCACACAAAGCTATCAAATGACCTCATATGATTTGGAATATAGTTTCATAAGGAGTCATATGGCTTATTTCTTTATTTGAAGCTTCAAAGCTCCAGTCCAAATTTGATTGTAATAGCGTGGGAAAGATCGACCGGTACATTATTAAAAGTTAAACTTTTACCATGGAAGATAAAGTGTCATAGTTAATCTTTTTTTTTTTTTTGGTGAACTTTTCTTTTAAAAGAACCAGAAAACAGAGCTAAACATGGCAGTGCATGGCTGCTTTGTTACTATGGCAATCGTGCAAAATTACTTTAATTCATCATCATTTTAACAATCATTATCCTTTGGCCTAGTTCAAATCTTTTAACACACAAAAAATTGAATCTTTTGTGAGATCAGTTGTTAAAAACAGCGGTTTTGACACCCACTCGTGCAATTTATTCAAACTCTGAAATAACACAAATGGAAGTATATGAGAATGATCTAGTGATCAAAACAATGTTTCTCAAATAAAAACAACTTTGTCTTGATTCCAGCTTAACTCACTCAAGACATTCATTAGCCAAATGCATGCTGGGATGCATCTCAGACACATTTTGAAGTCCGAACACCTTACGATCCGCTGGAACTTCTGATCTGTAGTGTGAGTATAAACTCCAAATACTTGAAATGACTTCCCTCTCCCAAATAAGCTTTGTGCATTAGCGTCATCTCAAAACTTTTCTAAAGCATTAAACAGAAAATTAGAATAATTCTCTTGTAATAATGACATCCTCTGAGGCAATAAACTCGGGAGTAGGCATAATCCACTTGTCCTGCCTTCTTCAGATGAATAAAAGAGCTGACTAATACCTCTCTCAGATGGTGGAGCTGGAAACACTCAGGAGGGTAGATAATAGACCCACATGTATAACCTCTTTCTTATGTCTAAATATAGTCTAAATATACTGTGAAGTGTTTTACAATAATCTTTCTAAAGTAGATGTGCAGCTATAGATGCAGTATTGTGTGTGTGTGTGTGTGTGTGTACAGCAGATAGTCTCTCTAAGGCAGTTAACTCTATTAGATTAGCGCTGTTAATGCAGGCGCACCTGACAGACCTGACTTCACACACATCCATCTGCTCACATATGCACTGCATGATGTAAATGTGACAAATTATTATTAGCACAGGTGGTGCTTTTGCAGATTATTTTCATAAATTGAGTATGATAAGGGTCAGAAAAGGTCAAAGTAACTCCGGAGTAATTCAAGTCGATTTATGTTGTATAACACTGACGTCTAGATATTGTTTCAGAGCAGACTTGGAGAAATCATCCCTTTAGTGCCTCCAGTGAACAAACCAACTGGGAAAAAAACTCCATAACATGTTTAGGCTGGTAAGGTAACCACTGCACTTTTTCATCTTTTTTTCTCTTAATGATAGAAGTCACAGATCACTGAAATAATAGCAAATATTACATTAAATATAATTGCATTAAAACAATCAATTAAATAATTAAAATAATGAGGACTGGCTTTGATCTGGCTTTGATAATATATGTATAAATTGAGCATTTTATAATTTATAAATGTTATTATATAATTACGTTTCGATATAATAAATTATATATATATATATATTCGTAGTCATATGTCATAGTTTATTTGAATGTTTTTTATCAATATGCAGAAAAATATTTAAGAAAGTGAAATCAGATGGTACTTTTGCATTTAAGGACGTTTAAGTGTAAATAAAGTTGCTTTAAAAAATAAATAAATACATAAAGATGTTGCGTTCCATATTAGAATCTCAATGAGCTGTATTTTCATTTTTGATATTTTGCCCAGTGCTATACTTAAATTATTGTTAAACACATAAATGTTTGTTTTATGTATTTCTGAAATAATTTGACAGCGATTCTTTTTTTATGACGTCAATCAAGCTTGCTATGCAAAACAGAGCAGCTTGTCTTACTGCTGATTGGCTGTGTGTCTCTCAGAGCGCGATGTGATTGGACGGCGCGCATGTCATGTAACGGCTTCCACCATCAGGTTTCGTGGCGCAGAGGATTCGGGCTCATTCTCTCACACACTCTCACACACTCATTCACGGCAGCGCGAGTCCGGAGGATGGAGGCTATCAAACCGGTAGGTGAAAAGCGTCTCTCTCACTTCTCACTGAAGAACCGTTAGCTGCTCACACCAGCCGATTGGAGGGGAAATGAGTTCTGATGGGTGCTGTGGTTTTGTCGTGAATCCTGGAGTTTGTTTAGTGCGCTGAAGTGTGTGCCGGGTCAAAGCTGGCGATTATTAGTGATGGAGGTGTCAGGGGCTCCGAGTCTCGAGCGCGCTAGTGACGCTGTCCGCGGTGCTGAAAGTGAGTAAAGCTTCTAACTACACTGTGCAACAATGTAGGACTTTTAACACGAGAACAATGCTTTCAATGTCTATGTTTCATTAGTTATAAAAAAAAGCAATTATTGACACAAATCATTTTTTTTAAATACCTAGAGACAATTTATATTATATTTAACAAGATAATGTTATACCGTTATCGTATAATATTGTTTGTGGGGGGTTTCTAATGAACAAAAAGTAAGAATGACCTTATAATCTGGGGAAAAAAGAGTTCCCTGAATTCCTTCTGCGAACTAATCAGTAATGTACATTGGGATGTTTATGATGCTGGGTTATTTTATTTTATTTCAAGTTTGTAGCATTACTTTAGTATGGTGTTACGCTGATGTTTTTTTGTGGCTGTGTGGGTGATACTGGGATCTGTCATTTGATGAACTTTAAGTCATTAATGTGGCCTTCTGTTGTACAACATGTATTGTTTTCACTACATTTTACAGTAACATTTTAATATCAATTAATCGATCAAACAAATCGATCCTTATGTTAACGATTTTTGACATTTATATCTTATATTTGTTCTAGTCCCCCAGTTGAGGTGTTTTTTTCTCATACAATTACATCGCCTGCTCTCGAACTATATTGATATTCAAGTCATCTGTCTGTGTTTTATTTGCTGTTGACATATTTTATCTGTGCAAATATCATTTTAGATATCTTTTAAACCACACGTTGCATCTGTGAATGCAAAATTTACCAGATCTTTAATTTTCAATAGTGTTTTGACTCTCTCGTTCATGCTATGATGCATAATTTATTACCCCACATTATAGCCAATTGATTTGAGGGGATAAGTTTTCAATTAATGAAGAGTAAAAACTAGTGTGCCTTACTCACAGGTCTTTTAAAAAGTGCACATTTATGATCACCGGTCACTACTAGCAGGTTTGGATTTGTGCCACTATTTGATAAATCACTTGCATCATTTGAACTTAGAGACCTTGAATCTCTCTTTTAGGGATATGCTCATTGATAGTGACATTTTAATATAAATAAGCAGTCTACGGTGAAATAAGCTCTCTTTTCAAAACCTTACTGTGCCTAAACATCTAGCAGAACATAACAATGAGTCATTACTATTAAATGGGTGCATTTTACAATTAGATTAGGAGGTTTATATAGTCAGCGTGAAATGGAAATTGCAGTCATGTTTTCTTCTCCATTGTGACATTGTGAAAAAAAAAAAAAAAAGCAGGTCACATGCATAAAAAAAAATGATGTGACCTTATAAATGATTTATAATAAACTGAAATATTCCATATAAAATAAGAATTGTCCATTTTGATTTCATGGTGACTTTAACATTAACAAAAATTCTAAACATTTTATTTGCGACAAAATGTGTTACTAAAGTGCACTGAGCACCTCCAGCTAATTTAATACTTTTTGTAATATATATTGTGACATAATTTAGCCTTCAGAATAGTTAATCGATTAAGTTATACAGTTAAGTCATGAAAGCAGAAGATGCGCACTTTAACTTTTCCTTGAAGAATTCACTTCTTGAAATAATGCTGATGTCATTTTGGCAAAGTTTTTGGGGTTTAAGGAAAAGTATATTGGTCTACAAATTAAAAAAATATAATATTTGATGCATAACCTGGGGGAAACAAATGGAGATATTATGTTAACTAAGATCACAAATATATATATAGAGAAATATAAAGGTAAAAATGGTAGCTTTAATGTTAATAGCAATAGTTCACCCACAAATAAATATTCTGTCATTAGTTATTCACCCATGTCGTTCCAAACTCGTACGACTTTCGTTCATCTTCAGAACACAAATGAAGATATTTTTTTATGAAATCTGAGAACTTTCTGTCCCTCCACTGACAGCTACGCAACTATCACTGTGACGCTTCAAAAAGTTCATAAAGAGATCGTAAAGAGAGAGCGGTTTAGTCCAAATTTTCTGAAGAGACTCGATCGCTTTATATGATGAACAGATTTAATTTAGGCTTTTATTCACATATAAACATTTATCAATATCAACATACACATCAGTTGTGGTAAACGTAAGCTCAAGCATGCACTCGACGTGTGAGAACCAATGAGGTTCATTCTCGCGTTACGCATCATGTTTGAACTTCTGTAAGAACCAATAAGGTTCATTCTTGTGTAACGCATCACGTTTGAGCTTCAGCAAGAACCAATGAGGTTCATTCTCGTATTACGCATCACATTTGAGCTTCAGCAAGAACCAATGAGGTTTATTCTCGTATTACGCATCACATTTGAGCTTCTGTAAGAACCAATGAGGTTCATTCTCGTGTTACACATCACATTTGAGCTTTTGTAAGAACCAATGAGGTTCATTCTCGTGTTACGCATCATGGTTGAGCTTCAGCAAGAACCAATGAGGTTCATTCTCATATTACGCATCACATTTGAGCTTCAGCAAGAACCAATGAGGTTTATTCTCGTATTACGCATCACATTTGAGCTTCTGTAAGAACCAATGAGGTTCATTCTCGTGTTACGCATCACATTTGAGCTTCTGTAAGAACCAATGAGGTTCATTCTCGTATTACGCATCACATTTGAGCTTCTGCAAGAACCAATGAGGTTCATTCTCGTGTTACGCATCACATTTGAGCTTTTGTAAGAACCAATGAGGTTCATTCTCGTGTTACGCATCATGGTTGAGCTTCAGCAAGAACCAATGAGGTTCATTCTCATATTACGCATCACATTTGAGCTTCAGCAAGAACCAATGAGGTTCATTCTCGCGTTACGCATCATGTTTGAACTTCTGTAAGAACCAATAAGGTTCATTCTTGTGTAACGCATCACGTTTGAGCTTCAGCAAGAACCAATGAGGTTTATTCTCGTATTACGCATCACATTTGAGCTTCAGCAAGAACCAATGAGGTTTATTCTCGTATTACGCATCACATTTGAGCTTCAGCAAGAACCAATGAGGTTTATTCTCGTATTACGCATCACATTTGAGCTTCTGTAAGAACCAATGAGGTTCATTCTCGTGTTACGCATCACATTTGAGCTTTTGTAAGAACCAATGAGGTTCATTCTCGTGTTACGCATCATGGTTGAGCTTCAGCAAGAACCAATGAGGTTCATTCTCATATTACGCATCACATTTGAGCTTCAGCAAGAACCAATGAGGTTTATTCTCGTATTACGCATCACATTTGAGCTTCTGTAAGAACCAATGAGGTTCATTCTCGTGTTACGCATCACATTTGAGCTTCTGTAAGAACCAATGAGGTTCATTCTCGTATTACGCATCACATTTGAGCTTCTGCAAGAACCAATGAGGTTCATTCTCGTGTTACGCATCACATTTGAGCTTTTGTAAGAACCAATGAGGTTCATTCTCGTGTTACGCATCATGGTTGAGCTTCAGCAAGAACCAATGAGGTTCATTCTCATATTACGCATCACATTTGAGCTTCTGTAAGAACCAATGAGGTTCATTCTCGTATTACGCATCACATTTGAGCTTCTGTAAGAACCAATGAGGTTCATTCTCGTGTTACGCATCACATTTGAGCTTTTGCAAGAACCAATGAGGTTCATTCTCATGTTACGCATCACATTTGAGTTTTTGCAAGAACCAATGAGGTTCATTCTCATGTTACGCATCACATTTGAGTTTTTGCAAGAACCAATGAGGTTCATTCTCGTGTTACGCATCACATTTGAGCTTTTGCAAGAACCAATGAGGTTCATTCTCATGTTACGCATCACATTTGAGTTTTTGCAAGAACCAATGAGGTTCATTCTCGTATTACGCATCACATTTGAGCTTCTGTAAGAACCAATGAGGTTCATTCTCGTGTTACGCATCACATTTGAGCTTTTGCAAGAACCAATGAGGTTCATTCTCATGTTATGCATCACATTTGAGTTTTTGCAAGAACCAATGAGGTTCATTCTCGTGTTACGCATCACATTTGAGCTTTTGTAAGAACCAATGAGGTTCATTCTCATGTTACGCATCACATTTGAGTTTTTGCAAGAACCAATGAGGTTCATTCTCGTGTTACGCATCACATTTGAGCTTCAGCAAGAACCAATGAGGTTTGTTCTCATGTGTCAAGCAGGTTCGGTTGAGCTTCTTTTTATGTTCGCTGATCAGTGTTAAATGTGAATAAAAGCCTAAATTTAATCTGTTCATTATACAAAGCGATAGAGTCTCTTTCTAATTTGGACTAAATTGCTCAATTCATATGGATTAGCTTTACGATCTCTTTATGAACTTTTTGAAGCGTCAAAGTGGTAGTTGCGTAGCTGTCAATGGAGGGACAGAATCTCTCAGATTTCAACAAGAAGATCTTCATTTGTGTTATGAAGATGAAGGAAAGTCTTACGGGTTTGAAACGTCATGACGTATATTAGCACATTGTTAATTGCTCTAGTATTTTTCTTACACACTTACACACCAGTTTTGTAGAATAGCCCATATGCCGTTGTGCATGATCTGATTCAGCCGTGTGTTTCGGCGGGTGCTCGGTCTTGCAATGGCTGTGCTGCCGTGTCCTTTATTTGCTTTTGTTCTCTTTACTGTTGTCCTCAAGTTCCAGTTGGGAAAGCAAAAGAGGTGTTTGATGAGGATCGTTCCTCCCAGGCGTTGTTCTTCCGGGCAAATCAAAGACAGTAAGTCACTTGTCTCGTTGTGAGGAATGGGCGCCAGCTCGTGCTTTCTCTTGGGTTTATTTGAAATCCAATATGAATTGTGCTGACGCTTTGAATTTGCTTTTGTGACC